ATTTTATAACCGTATTTCTGAATTCCTTCTCCAGCATTTCCAAAGCCTGCCCATCTTCCAGTATGGAGTGTAGGTCTACTTCCAGCTTATTTGCCTCAGTCACTTTATCTCGTTTCTGGATATGTGCAGATATGGTCATCTGCTTTTGTTTTTTGAACATATTCAGGAGTTATCTGTGGACTGAATACTTAGGTGGGTATGTCTTTTGGTGTTTTTTTTATGCTTTCTGATTGCCTCCAGGTAGATGTGATCAGGAAATGCGCTTCCCTTTTCACTCTTTTTCTTGAGAAATTTCAAGATGCCACTGTTGGTCGTTTTGACGTAACTTAAGATTTAATTTTTGGCTTATTTTCGTTTTTGTCTGCTTATCCCACGCCACAATCCCCGTTCAGGCCTTTTTTCTAGTTGTAAACAGTTTAGGGCCAGCTGTGGCCGGTTTGGTTTTAATTGGAAACTGTCTCTTTAAATTTCGAGGAGATCTGTACGCATGCGAGATCTGTACGCATGCGTAGTAGAACTCTCCGAGAGTGGGGCTGGGCTGCCCACTAGCTCAGGCACCCCTACAGTCACCAGAATGGAGGTGCGTGGACAGCAAGGGACCAGTGAACAGCTACCAAAAGAGAAGAATGTCCACACCTTTATCTCAGCGGTTCTGCCAGGCGTCTTTGGCTGCTCCGATCCTTCTCCTGCTTGGTCTCACTCAAGATGGCGGCTCCTGGAGCAGCTGAGCGTGTTGAATTAGAAAGCAATGGATTTCTTGCTTCTGCCACAAGTACCCCTAGCTGTAAGCCTTCCAACCTTCTAAATATTCCTTTATATGTGGTTCAGAGTTCTGGGACCATCTCCTGAGCCTGCTTGTTTGGTATTCTGGCAGAACTCTTTACTGCATTTCCACCAGATCATCCACCATCTTGTTTGTTCTCCCCTCCCTTTTTTTTTTTTTTTTATAAGTTTTATTGTATTTGTTGTGGTTGCTGTTAAATGTCATCAATTTGTTGTTAAGGGCTGTTGAGTCCAGTCCAAGTCAAAGTAACCCCGTGTAGGGTTTCCAAGGAGCGTCTGCTGAGTTTGAACCAGGCCCTTGCGTTAAGCAGTCCCATACTTATCTTATAGCCCCTACCAGTTATCTTGTCATTAGGATACCATTTGCATTGTATTCTTAGAATCATGTGGTTTCCCTAAGTGCATATAGAATAACTGTTTAGAATAAAGGCTGTGTTTTAATTTCTTTGAATGTGGGGAGGAGGTTGTTTTTAACAGGCTATTAGAAATAACTGTGGGAGTAAGAGGAGGCTTTCTGCCCTGGGAAGATTTAAAGCCTCGGAAACCCTATACAGGGTCACTATGAGTTGGAACTGACTTGATGGTATTTCTCAACAGCAACATTATAAATCAGGCTGTTATAAACAGTCTTGTACATGTTTTTCAGTGCATATGCTTATTTGTTGTTGTTGTTTGGGATTGAAATTGCCCCAGTGACAATCCTGATTACTTGTGATTTTCATGTGCAGCCAAAAATGAGGACCATTGCTCCAATTTACACTTTGCAGAACCCCATCAAAATTGTTATCCCCATTTTGGAGATGAGGACACGGAGGCTTGGAGAGGTTGAGTCATCTACTCCAGGTCACACAGCTGGAAAGTAGCAGAGTTGGGACTGGAACCAGATCTGCTTCCCCCCAGAGCCCCTGATCTTGGCCATCTTGCTAACCAGAAACTTCTTGTCTCTCTGGGAATGCAGACCTGTAATCCTGGACCCAGCAGACCCCACGTGGGACGTAGGGAATGGTGCAGCCCGGCAGTGGGACATGCTGGCCCAAGAGGCGGGGTCCTGCTATTCCCACCCGTGCTTTCTACAAGTGCCTGGGAGCCCTGTACAGCCCTGGGAGGGACCGGTGAGTGAGGGGTTCCACAGGTCCTTTGGGTTTTTGCCTAGATTTATAACCAGCGGTTCCTGTGCATGTGTCCTGTGGAACACAGAGAGGAAAAGGTGGAGGTAGGAGCATGTAATTGGCAGGCTAAGTGGGTTTAGAGGAAGGTCAGCCTTTGTTTTCAGAGTTATTGCAGCCTGCATTTACCTTTTGTAACTATCACCCAGGAGGGAAGCCTTTTTCTATGCACAAAGAGCCATAAAGGCTAGCAGAGGCCCTCGCCCTCTCAGGGCCTCCATCACCCTGGCTGTACAATGGGCTGGTGAAAGAGAACTTGCTTAGAAGAAGAAAGCTCTACCCTAGGTAAAGCAACTCCTTCCATGACTTCCAGGGTCTTCCACGTGCCGGATCCTCAGGTTTGGATCACCCCATCCAGAAAGACCCTGATCAGAGGACCCCTGAAGACAGTGGGAACCTCAGTGCTGTGCACTCCAGAGCAGGAAGTGGCCAGCCCTCACATCCAGCTCCCAGCCCCTCTGGGATGGCCAGCAATGCTCCTTCTATGCCAGGGACAGTCTCAGATCTGTCTCAGATTCCTTCCAAGGAGCTGGACCGTTTCATCCAGAACCACCTGAAGCCAAGTCCCAAGTTCCAGGAGTTGATGAGCAAGGCCATCGACAGCATCTTACGCTGCCTCCGTGAAAACTGCATCCACAAGGTTTCACGCATCAGCAAGGTGAGAGGGCAGGGGGGCTTAGTGGTGAGGCGAATGAGTTCCAGCAACACAGCTGACCTTAGGCTGCCCAGGGAGACTGGACAGCCATGGAGGGTGGTTTGAAGGCTGGAAGTCTATAATAAAGTGCCAGCTTTAAAAAAGAGAGAGTGTTTTAGTTTGTTGTTATTGTGATAAAAGTATATATAACAAAACATTTGTCAGTTCATGTAATCCAGACTTTCTGGAACCATTGAGGCTGGATGAACCCACAAAACTATTGCCCTGAGATAATTTTATTTTAAACCTTAAACCAGAAATCGCCTCTGTAATCCTCTTTAAACCAAGCACTTGTTGTGTACCATCGAGTTGTTTCCAAGGCATAGTGACCATGTACAGGGTTTTCAAGAGCAGCTGGTGGGTTTGAACTGCCAACCTTGCGGTTACCAGTCCAGTGCTTATCCCACAGTGCCACACAGTAAAGAATGCCTACCTTGAACATTGTGTTCTTTTTTTTTTTTAATTTAAGGTTTTTATTGTGGATTGAGTGAAAGTTTACAGGGCACATCATCAGTTTCACATTCAACAATTCATATAACTTGTTTCATTA